TGGATGCACTCTTCTCCGTTTTATCAGGTTCAGTCCCCTTACTGGTTGCTCTCCGGTCTGCTACATAGTCAGCCCTCTCTGCATCAGCTCGATTCGGGCATTGAAGAAGTCTGTCCTCTTATAGGCCTGCCTAGTCTTGCTTTTCTCCTTGTGGGCCAGGGCGGCGTCTGCCGCCGACGAATACCCTTCCAGAAGTTCCTCAGCCCAGTCCGTGAACGAGCTTCGGAATCCATGAGGAACCGCAGGTATTCCCACCCGTCTCATCATCATGTTGTACGTCATATCGGAGGCCACGCCACCTCCAGGCTCGGAAGGAAATATCAGCCCGTCCGGCCCGGTTACCGGCCATGCTTCGTGCAATATTTCCTTCGCCCTGTCTGAAAGAGGCACCCTGTGTAAACGGCGGGCTTTCATCTTGATGTGGGCGATTTCCCACGTGCGACGGTCCCACAGGATCTCTCCCCAGTTGGCCTTCCTTACTTCTCCCGAACGCGCCGCGGTCAGCACGAGGAACTCGAGGGCCAGCTTGGTCAGAGGGTTGGAGGTTGACTCCCGCACCTTGGTCAGGGCCCAGCCCACCTGGCTGTAGTGCAGAGCCGGATGGTGGTTTGGTTCCCTGTTCACCGGGGGCAGGACCTTGAGGAGGGACTTTCCTGCCGGGTTATCGAGGCGGTGTCCGTGGGTAACCACCCAGTCCATGACTGTTTCCACTCGCTGCTTGACCCTGCTAGCCGTTTCGGGCTTGGTGGTCCAGATGGGCTCCAGCACTGCCAGCACGTCTTCCGAAGTAATCTCGTCGACTGCCGTCTCACCGATGAACGGGAAGACGTAAGTTGCCAGCGTGCTTTCCCACTGTGCGGCATGTTTCGGGTTGCTCCATGCGGGCCGGCGGAACTCAATCACGCGGACGGCGGCCTCGGCGAAGGTGGGGACGGAGGGTACGGGGTTGCGAGCGGCTTCCTTGACGGCCTGCCTTTCGGCCAAGGGGTCCCGCCCTGCGGAGACGGTGGTACGGTTGGAGGCCGCCATTGTTCGTGCCTGTACCAGGCTGACGGTGGAGTAGGAACCGAGGCCTATGTCACGGCGCCGTCCGTCGATTACTATCCGCTGGACCCAGGACTTGGAGCCCGAGGGGGCGATGTGAAGGTAGAGACCATCGCCGTCGCCGTATCGGCCGGGCTCGCGGAAGGCCTTTGCCGAGAGTACGGTGAGCTTGCCCATTTCCGCACCTTCCCACATATTTTCCCACACGATGTGTTGGGACTTGCTGGCATTTTACGATGCCCAATGGGAAGGTTCAAGGAGCGGATATCAGTGAATCAGATACGAAAGTGGCGGAAATGAGACTCTATGGGACTGTGTGGGAAGGTAAAGTGGCGGAGAGGGCGGGATTCGAACCCGCGAGAAGCTTGCGCCCCTACGCGATTTCCAGTCGCGCCCGTTCGTCCACTCCGGCACCTCTCCGCGCGGGGACGATGCATTCCATTATAGGTTCGCCCCTATTTGGCCGCAAGTTGAGTAGGGGTGGTTTGCAGCACAAGGAACGCTGGGGCAAATACTCTCCTCGCGGAAATACTGGTCAGGAATTGCGCGAACAATGCTTTGCGTCATGCGTTGTCCAGTCTGTGGCAATCCACGGGAGCGGTGGCCTATAATTAGCGGCGAAAAATCCACATAGGAGATGCGACACCCATGGCCGATGCCGGCTTTGTCAAAGTTGCCCAGGTTAGCGAAATCAGCCCCGGCGATATGCTTTCGGTGGACTTCAGCGGCGACGCGATCCTGGTCGCCAACGTCGACGGCGTGATCCATCCTGCGACGATATCTGTTCCCACGCCTACGCATCGTTGTCCGAGGGGGACATCAACGGCGCCGAGGTGGAGTGCCCGCTGCACGGCGCTCTCTTCAACATCACGACCGGTGAAGCTCTTACGCCGCCAGCCGATGCGCCAATCAAAGGTTTACAAGGTGCAGGTCGAAGGCGACGACATATACGTTGCTCCCCCCGAGGATTAGCGCCGACAGGCCCGGACCAGACCTTCACGGATGGAACTGTGAAAGCCGGGAACGTGATTGTTCCTGGCTTTTTTGTTCCACATTGCAAGGAGTCGCGGAGACTCTCCAACGGAATCACGCACAGAGTTTCCTCAATGCGACCTCATAATATGCACATCCTCCCAGGGCCAGTAGATGAGCCAGACCCGGCCAACGATATTGGCCTCAGGCACTACTCCCCAAGCCCGCGAGTCGTTGCTGTTGCGCCGATTGTCTCCTATGACGTAGTACTCTTTCTCGCGCAAAGCCAACCGGCGAGCACTGGAACGGTCAACCCGTTCCAGGTACGGTTCGCGCAGGGGCGTTCCGTCTATGTGAACAGTGCCTGAGCGTACCTCAACCGTCTCGCCAGGAAGGCCCACGACTCTCTTCACAAAGTCCTTGGTTGGGTCCTCGGGAAATCGGAAGACGATGATCTCACCCCTGGTGGGTGGATCGAAGGCAAACTTGGGATCAGAGCCAGCAGCGTCCCAGAACGGCACAATCCTGGACAGCCTCTCGACGTCCAATTTGAAATAGGAGACCTGGTCTACAACAAGATACTGTCCGCCCGCAAGGGTGGGCGACATACTCGACCCCTCCACCTTGAAGTTGCGCACCGTACCCTGCAGCACCACCAGCGCTATCAGGGCCAGCAGTACCGCCTCCAGTATTTCTCGTGCCAACCGGGGCATCTAGTGATCCTCAAATTTAATTTCCAACTTCTACCTTATCAGAGCCTGGGTTCGTGTTGGTAGACGATTTCCACCTGCATCCTGGATAGACACCCAATTGCATGCTTCCAGTTGCTATGGCGACAGAGACCATACCCATATTCCCCACACCCATCGTCTTTGTCCGCTTTTAACGGCTCTGCTACAATCAGCGCATTTTCCGGAGGCAGTGTCCGCATTGGGAGATTGCCAAAAATTCGTGCCTTGAGGATCCAATATGAGTTGGAAATTTGAACTGTTGACCAAACCCTTGAGGGGTGTTGCCGAGGGCCCCATCTGGGACGGCGACCAGATGCTCCTCACCCACATACCGGCAAGCCGCATTCTGCGGATCGATCCAAAGACCGACGAGATTACCGTGTGGAGAGAGGGCACAAACCGGACCAACGGCCTTGCCCACGATACTGCCGGCAGGCTGTTCGGATGCTGCTCTGGCGGCCGCGCCATCGTCCGCTTCGATGACGACGGAACCACCGCCGTTGTTGCCGACCGTGTCGACGGCACTCCCCTCAACACTCCCAACGACCTAGCGGTCGACGCTCAGGGCCGCATCTGGTTCACCAACCCCTGGAACGCCGGCAACATCGACGCCACCGAGGTCGAGGCCCCCGGTTGGCGCTGCGTACTGCGGGCCGACCCCCAGTCGGACGGCTCCTATGTAACCACCCGGGTGGAAAACGACAGCACTATGCCAAACGGCGTACTGGTTTCCATCGACGGCAAGACTCTGTACGTTGCGGAGAGCAACAGCGACGACCCGTCCATCGACCGGGAGCTGCGCGCCTATCCCATCAACAACGACGGCTCGCTGGGGCCCTACGCCATGATCCACGCCTTCGGCACCGACGGCACTAACGCGCAGCGCGGTATCGACGGAATGTGCCTGGACCGTGAGGGCAACATCGTGGCCACCGCCGGCTGGCCGCAGTCCGGACCGGGACCGCTGATCTATGTCTTTGATCCCAAGGGCCGGGTGCTGGAGACCCATCGGGTGCCCTGCCTCCGACCGACCAACTGCGCCTTTGGCGGACGCGACCGTTCGGTCCTCTACGTTACCTCGGCCGAAGGCCACATCTTCAAGGCGCAGACCGATATGGAGGGTTGGGCCCTCTTCCCGTAGTTCAGCCTGGCCAATTTAGCCACGAGAGTCGGGAGCACAACGGTGCGCCCCGGCTCGTGGCAATAGTGGCGAGATACGGAGGGCCGGAGAGGCGTTATGAGCTTAAGGAATTTGGGCGGTTTCGGGCGCGACCAGATTCGGCAGGGCGGCGGACGGGGGAACGGCAACGATCACCTTGATGAGTTGTTCGGGGCCACCGAGTTGTTCATCTACCAGACGCCCAATCGCCGGGCCAAGGGCTTCGATGCGCTCAAGCTGTTCCTCGAAGCCAGCGAGTGCGAGGTCATATTCACCACCGACGTCCCCCCCGAACTTCGCAACTACGAGGCCTTCCGCATCACCCACAAGCAAGGCGAGGCCATCCCAGCTCCCGTCCTGCGCCGTTGCCACTCATGGGCCCACAACCGCAACTTTCTGCACAGCTTCTTCAAACCAATGTACCGCTAGCAGCGTGTCCGAGGATTAGATTTTGGAGACGAAAAGCGCCACTGACTAATCTCATTGGTGACTAATGGGCTCTAATAAAACGGTTACCGGAATAATTAACTTTGTAGATGCCGAGATTCGTTTAGAACATTGTTTCTCAGACAGACTGCTAGCGCGGGCCATAGCGCACGGCCTGGTTCGTCCCTCAGCGACTGCCTGTGAGACAAGGGCAATCTGCGTCCCGCTATCCCTCCTCGGACCTGACAGGCCGCCGCGGTGGCCGGGCAAACAGCACCAGCACCGTCGCCAGTCCACCCATGATCGCGAAAGCAATGAAGGCCAGTTGGTAGCTATCCGTCAGGTCAAAGATCACGCCGGCCACCAATGCGCCAATGGCCTGCCCAATGGTGGTCAGCGGTTCAGTTACGCCTCGAATCACCCCCAGCGACCGTCGGCCGTAATAGTCGGCATAGCCGACTGGAGGCACCGACAGCAGGCCGCCAACGCCGAAGCCAAACAGCACAGCGTAAACGAGTATCTCGACCTTGGAATCGGCGATGACAAAGAGGGCTGACGAGATTCCCACGGTGATTGCCACGGCAGCAAGCACGTAGCGGGCCGGGAACTTCTCCGTGAGCCATCCCCAGAAAATGCTGCCCAACCCCAGGAAGGCGGCATTGAGGCTGATCCCGAATCCTGCGAAGGCAGCGTTCAGTCCCTGGTCCCGCAGGTAGGCTGCTAAGTGAGTGTTCACTCCGGCCTGCACCAGGAAGACCATCCCGGTGGCCGTTGCAAACATCCACAGGGCAGGCGTGCTCATCGCCTCCCTGAGCGTCCACACCGGCTCCTCTGCGGTGGGGGTCGGTGCAGGGCCGAAACCCACTACACTCGCCTGATTTTCCTCGCCAAGCTCCTTGCCAAGCTGTTCCGGAACGTCACCGTCCGGTCTGAGTCCGACGTCCTCTGGCTGCTGCACCAGAAGCAGGGTCGTCGGCAGGAGCGCGATCGCCCAAACCAAAATGCCCAGGACAATCCAGGCGTCGCGCCAGCCGCTGGCCCCGATGATGATCGAGGCGATGAGAGGGAACAGCACGAGCCCGATGGAGTGCGAGCCGAACAGAATTCCCGTGGCCCGGCCTCGCATCCGCACAAACCAGCGCGACACCACAACCGAGGAACCGATCTGAACCGGGCTGGAGAATATGACCCGCCCCACACCGTAGGCCGCATAAAAGGCAACGGGGACGGTGGCCCAGGCCAGGGAGATCGTTGACAGACCGAGGATGAAGATACTGGTGGCAAGCACGATGCGCGCCCCGTACCTGTCAACCAGCCATCCAACTGCAGGCGACACTGCCGAGGCGGCCAGACCGCCAAAGCTGGCAGCGCCGGCGATCAGCGTCCGGCTCCAGCCCAGCTCCTCGGACAACGGGAAAATGAACACGGCGATGGTCAGACTGGCCGTGGCGTTTCGCACCACCTGAGTGCTGCCCGCCGTGCAGAGAATGACCCAGCCGTAAAAGAAGGGAGTCCGCGGGGCAAGTCTCGCCCCAAGATTGATAGTTGAGAGCAGGGCTGTCAGCATTTGCTTGTATGCGGAATTACTATTCGAGATACGTGTCCGCTCGGGACAATATACAGGCCGAGGTCAACCCCCTCGTCGCAACTATGACACATTGCCTTACTGGAAAGCGATGGGGGCGGAACCTGGTCCGCCCCCATTAGTTAACCGAGTTGGCCCTGTATTTGCGGAAACTACTCTAGGCTGAAGCCCTTGTAGCCGTTTGATGCAATTTCGGCGCGCTTGGCCCGCATCACCGGGGCAGTGTCCGGAGCAGTGAGCAGGAAGCGAGCCTTTCCAGGAATGTTGGCGCCGACGAACCAGGAATCCGCCTGCGTCCGGAGGATGTTCTGTCCCCCCTCGATCATGTGCTGGGTCCATTCGTTTTCTGATTGCTGGGTCGGCTGAATGCGCTGGTAGCCGTTATCGCGGACGTAGGCCACGCACTCAGTAATCCAGTCGACCAGAGGCTCGGCGGCCCGCACGAAGTTCCCGACCGACGCCGCGTTGATGGTGAACAGGTTCGGGAAATCCACGCTTGATATGCCCATGAAGGTACGCGGGCCCTCGGCAAACTTGTCCTTCAGCGTCCGACCACCCGCGCCCTGGATGTGCATCCGGCTCAGAGAGCCGGTGACGGCATCATAGCCCGTGGCGTAAATGATTACGTCGAGATCATAGTGGGCGTCAGCGGTCTGGATGCCGTTCTCGGTGATGCGCTGGATCGGGGCATTCTTGACGTCGACCAGCAGCACGTTGTCCCGATTGTAGACCTCGTAGTATCCGCTCTCGCAGGGCAGGCGCTTGGAGCCGAACATGTGGTCCTTGGGTGTGAGCATCTCAGCTACCACGGGGTCCTTGACTCGTTCACGGATCTTGTTGCGGAAGAACTCCGCGTAGTGCTCGTTGGCAGGCCCCGGCATCATCACGTCGTAGAAGTTGCTCAGCCACTTGGCAAAGCCCGGCTCGTCCCAAAGCCGCTCGTATTGCTGCACACGTTCCTCTTCCGAAACGCTGAAAGCCGAGCGGGTGTCGAACTCGTGCATGAATGAGCCGGAGGTCTCCAGGCACTTTTCGAATATCTCCGGGTACCGTGCCCTGATCTCCTCTTGCTCTTCCTCTGTGATAGGGCGGTTGCGCAGAGGAGCGCAGTGAGTAGTTGGCCGTGCGCTGGAAGACGGTCAAATGACCGACCTCCTTGGCGATCTCGGTGATGAGCTGAACAGCCGTCGCACCGGTGCCGACCACACCCACGCGCTTGCCAGCCAAGTCCATGCCCTCACTGGGCCAGCGTCCGGGTGGCACCAAGTCCCCTTGAAGTCGTGGATGCCTTCAAAGTCCGGTACGTAGTGGGCCGACAGCAGACCAACGGCGGTGATCAGGAACCGTCCCCGCGCCTTGTGCCCTTCTTCCATCGTCAGCTCCCAGCGGTTGGCGTCCTCGTCATATACGCAGGACACAACGCGGGAGTTGAAGCGAATGTGGCGGCGCAGGTCGAACTTGTCCGCTACATAGTTCAGGTAACGCTCGTTTTCCGGCTGCCCGGAGTACAACTCCTTCCAGTGCCATTCCTTTAGCAGATCCTCGGAAAAGGAGTAGCCGTAGGTGTAGCTCTCGGAGTCAAAGCGCGCGCCTGGATAGCGGTTCCAGAACCATGTCCCGCCGATGCCAGACGCGTCCTCAAAGGAGCGAACCGAAAACCCAAGCTCGCGGAACCGGTACAGCGAATACAGGCCCGTCACACCGGCGCCGATAATGAGAACGTCATGTTCCTCAACATTCCCGTTCTGGGACGTGCCTGATGCAGTAGTTTGCTGCAAAGATGCCATGTGCATTCCCTCCTATATCTATTTCAATTTCCAATCAAATTGGATTATACATGGAAGAGAAAAAATGGGAATGATCAAATCTAATCTGGCTATCCCCTCCCTTACGTGTACAGCGATGCAGGCGGCGTCGAGCCCCATAAGCGTGGCCCCGCCGAACTCGAAATTCAGGGGCAGGCCGGAGATGTGCTGACCGTGTACGTGCAGGTCGCGGAAGTAGCGCTCCAGGCCCACTGACCGGTGAATCGAGTTGGTGCCCGCGGCGGTGAACAGTTTGTCGGCTACCGCGATCGACTGTCGGATGGCGTGCGTAATCGCCAGTCGCGTCCGCATCGCGAGCTCCGACAGCTCCGGGTCGCCGCTGACCTGCGCCTCCCACATCGCGCTCACCGTGTCCAGCACGTACCGCCGGGCACTGTCGATCATTGCCTCGCACTCGCCCACAACGATTTTGATGTGCTGACGGTCGCGCAGCAGGGTCGACGAATCAGTGGACCCTGAGTCGGTGGCGAGATCGACAAAGGTGTTCATTGCTCCGCGCGCCATCCCCAGCGTGTTGGCCGCCGACAGCGTCCAGCCAAAGACAATGGCCGACTGCGCCGGCGTATACAGCGCGCCCTCGTAGTGGGCCGGTGCGCCCCTGGTATAGGTGTGGTCGAAGGGAACGAACACCTCGTGAAACTCGGCGTCGTGGCTCGCCGTTCCCCTCATGCCCATGGTGGTCCAGGTTTTCAGCACCTCTCCCTGGTCCACTCGGAGGACCACCGTTCTCATCACCGGGGCGCCGTCGTCGAGCACCGGGCCATTGTCGTCCACTACCCGGCAGGCCACGAAGAGCGCGATGGAGTGGTCAATGCCACTGAGGAAGTTCCACCGGCCCGACACTACGTACCCGCCATCGGTCAGCCTGGCAGTGCCGCCTGCCCGCGCTGAGCCCGAGCCCAATACAACGGGCGGGTCGCCGAATATCTCCGTGGCAGCCTTGGGAGACAGTCGGGCCACCGCTGAAGACACGGCGGCACCATTGAATACGCACCACCCTGCAGAGCCATCGGCCTGGGCGATCTGCTCCACCACATGAAACGCTGTTATCGGGTCGGTTTCCGGGCCCCCCAGCTCTTTGGGCACATACAGCCCAAACAGGCCCTTGTCCGCCATCTCAAATGCCAGTTCGTGCGGCAGTTGGCACTCGACGTCTATCCGATCCCGGTTCGCCACGATTTCCGGGAC